ATTTAATGATCAATAATTTAGTCACTAAATATGGATTTTCTTGTAGTGCGTTAAAAAAAAAATTAACTTAGAAATAATTATAATATAAATGAAAGAATTAGTAAAATATTATTAATATAAAGGTGAAGAGATTTTGTTTGTGCAAAGAGCATACTTAAATACTAGGTTTTGTATAAAATGATGAAGCAAAACAACACCATAAAGCATGCAGCGTGACTAATTTTGGCACCTCTATGGTCAATGATATAATGACTATATGAACATTACAATCAGGCCTGATCTGAGATTTAATAATGAAACTGCATTCTCAGATAATTCATCTAAGCAAAAGATAATTATATCATCAGGGGAGACAACAAGACAAAAAGACACAAGACACTTTGCTACAACGACTTCTGGGAGAGCTGGTACTTGGCCATTTGGTGCTCGGATTAATCTCAATCTTTGTATAAGTGCTCCCGTATATGGTGTTTTTCTATTTATTTTTAGTAATTATGGTGAATTATTTTTTTAATGTTAAATATTTAGGGTTTCCTAATTAATGGTAAGATGTTGAAATTTTGAGTTTGGGTAAAAGGTAAAAATTAGTAGTGGAAGATGCTAATTTGGAACCCCAGAGAGTTGTTTATTAGTAAGTAGGTTAGGTCTAGGGTTTAAATTTTGAAACAAGTACTCAAAAAAATTAAGATCAATAAGGTCAATATGGGAAGTACACATTTAAGATTAATAAGAAAATATAATTTTAAAATACACAAAAACTGGGTCAAGCATATCTTGATGATTAAAAGAAAAAACTAATTTGAAATAATTCTTATGTTTAGAATTTTTGTGAAAATATATAATTTTCTAGCTTGACCTAAATGGTCATTATTGAAACCACCCTAAATTGGAATTATAATCACAAAATGAAATCCCAGCACCCACAATTACATAGATAAATATCATATAGACATCTGCATCTGACAATCATCTAGCTTCCATCACTGAAATTGAAACATGATTTATGGATCCAGGACAGTTTTCTGTGTTGATTTCAGTAGCACCCTTTTCTCTCACAATTGTAGTAGGTGTCAAAAATGCTGGTTCTTTCGGTTTTGGCTGCGACATGGCCTCATTTGAAAGCATAGAAACAACATCAGACATAGTAGGTCTATCCACAGCATGATCTTGCACGCAAAGGAGGCCAATATGCACGCACCTTAAAATTTGATCATGAGGCCTAATTTCTTCCAAAGTGGGATCAATTAACTCCAAACCTCTATCATCATTCCAAAGCTGCCATGCCTGACGGAAACCAAGGATGTTTTGCTCATACAAATTTTAAAGTGTGATAATATATTCATTCATTTGGATATATATATAGATATATGTATATATATATTCATTCAATATGAAAAGTTAAGATAGAGGAGAAGAAGTATTGAAAAGAAAAGAACTCACAAATCCTACAAGGTTCAGGGGATGCTCATGATGATAGTGGCTAGTGTTCTTCCTGCCACTTACAAGCTTTAGCAGTAGAACTCCAAAGCTAAATACATCGGTTTTGATTGAAACGAGTCCATGAAAAGCATATTCAGGAGAAATATAACCACTATAGAAATAATCAAAATGAACATAATTTTCAGTATTTGGAAGGGCAAACACATGAACGAATGAAAAGAAAGAACCAAGTGCTTGGCCATAGAGTTAAGGTAAATACTTACTAGGTTTCAACAACTTTACTTGTATTTTCTTCAGGTTCATTTTGTCCAACAATTCTAGCCATTCCAAAATCAGATATTTTTGGCTTCATCTTATCATCAAGTAAAATGTTGCTGGCCTTTAAGTCTTTATGAATTACTCTCAATCTGGAATACTTACGAAGATAAAGCAGGCCTTGAGCAATCCCTTCGATGATAATGAAACGTCTCTTCCAATTCAATATTTTCTTTTTAGCAACATTTGCATCAATATTTGTGGCATTAATTTCATGAATTGGTAAGTTACAAATCCAATACAATAGAGTTCTCATCCAAAAAAGTTTACCAAACAGAAAGGAATCCAAACTGTTGTTTGGCATATACTCATAGATTAATATTTTTTCTTCTCCTTGAATGCAAAAGCCTAGAAGCCTCGCATGATTATTGTGCTGGAGCTTTGCAATTAATAGTTCTTCATTCTTGAACTCAGTCACTCCTTGTCCTGAACCGGTGGAGAGCCTCTTTATTGCAACTTCTCTCCTGTCATGTAATATCCCCTGAAATTATCCTACTTTTGTAATCCATAGTGGAGATGGCACAAAAAGAAAAAAAAAATGAAAAAAAAAGGGAACCCATGAATAATAATATATATGTTACCGTATAAACCGGTCCAAATCCGCCCTCCCCTAGCTTATTTGCAGTTGAAAAATAGTTTGTAGAGGAGGCAATGCTTTCAAAGCTGAATGCCATCAGGTCATTTCTCTCTTTCTTATGGGTTTTTTGTTTTCCAAATGGGATGGAAGGAACCTCACTGCCTTCCAATTCTTTTATTAGCATTCTCTCGTTAATATTTTCATCTGCTACTTAGATTAAAAGGATTTAGTGTTTGAAAATGAAACAAACAAATATTCATGTTGTTGAAAAAGAAACTAACCCTTTGAAACGCATTTTTTCCTAATCAAATAGCAGTACGAGAACAAACTGGGTAAGACCATTATTCCTCCAACTGTGATGGTTAGCCATAGCCACATTTTCTTCCCTGCAATCAATTGACAGGCGTCTTTTAGTATCTAAACATCATAATGCAATGCATAAGCAAGAATTTGTTACTAGGTTGGGTTGGAACGTTGTGGAAATTAATGAAACCAACTTACTTTTACCTTTGGAAGGAAGAGTGTATATGGTCCGGCCAGGGCCACCAGGCTTTGCTTTTTTGAAAATTCCACTTGATGTCTAAATTTCACACCCAAACTGCTTCTCAAAATTTGTGGCAGCATAGGCAAAACAGGAACAATTTAACAAGCATTTTGCCTCACAATCAACAAGAGTCAGACTGTCGCTCTTGTTGAATCTGAATCCATCGATGGACATTGAGCCATACCTCTCGATAAAGTATCCATTATTAGCATCGCTATGAATGGTACGCCTGCACTCCGCAAGTTCTGGCTTTAGGCAACCTTTGTCATAAGCTGAATTATATGGATAACATGAAATTGTGCTGTAAGATTGCTTGTCATTATATGTTCTTAGTTGACCATCAAAACCCAACGTTATTCTCGGGTAAAAAAAATTCAAATGGTTTTTAGTGTAACTAAAGTACTTTTCATTCTCATTTTGGGTGAAACTAAAGTTGTAGCCATAATCATGCTGGGAAATATAAGGAAAGTCCGAGCTGCTCTCTCGCCAACTTCCACTTCTCCAGTAGACATCCCTACGTCGCCATATGAACAATTGTTTTGTTCCATTGGGATCCATACCGAGTGTAAAGTGGCCTAAGGCAAGGGAATTATAACTAATCCTCGATGTCAGATTTGTTGTAATTCCTAGTTTCACTCCGGGTAGAAGAGTGTCCATGGGATGTTCAAAGCTTTGCCATAGAGTGCCCTTCACAGATCCGTCTGGATTCAGCTGCCGGAGTACAAAATTGCCATCGTCCAGCAGAATGGCACTAGCATTAATGGAAGCCTTAGTTGAGTATAAAGTGATTACCTCTGTCTCCCTGGCTAAAATCTTCAGGTTTCCATGACCGTTAACCGTGAGATATGCAGAATCGTTCAAGATTGGGGAGTCTCGGTTTGCAGTCCACAATAAATAAGACCCACCGATATCGTAGACATCACCTTCGAACCTTTCATTATTGTACCACAATCCCAAGTAGGATTCATTTTCCACGCTAGGAAATCGAAAGAATCCTAACTTGAAAATATCAGATTGCGATTGTAGTAGCTCCCTATATCTGAGTTGTTGCCTTTGGATTATAGTGTCATTGTGGGAATTAGAAGGAACACTGAGGACAGCAAACACAAAAGACAAGGGATGGCTTGTCTGCCTCTGCTACTCCTTGTTACAGAGTAGAAAGCTATGTTCATTGGCGGTGAGAGACAATGGAGGATATATATCCAATCTTAGGACTACCGTGCAGCATGAGTACCAAATGGACCTTTTCAGTCACCAAAATGCCTTTTCACTTAAGGAATTAAATTAGTATTTGAAATTTAATTGATCGCTATCTATTATAAATATTGAGTCATTATAATTTTATTGTGTTAAAAAAATGAAGATATAAGCTGGGCACATTTTTCGAAATTATTTTAGTCCAACACCTAGTTTTTAATAAAATTCTTTTTCTTTTTCATTTTTCATAAAAAATGAAATTCTAAAGTTCCCTACGCGAACATGGTGTAGACACCAACTCCTAGTATCAGTACCTTACGGACTCTTATTGCAAAGTCCGTGTCGGACTTCATTTTACTCCGAATCCAGTCAGGTGTTGACACCGAATTTGGGGTGTCTAGAACCATCTGATTTTCAAATTTTTTTTTCTTGAAAATTGTCTTAATATCTATTTAACCGAGATAATATTCAAGTCACATAATTACATTAGATAATTATTTTTTAATTAATACATCTCAACAAGTCTCTATTTAAAATGCTCTACTAATTAAAATTGTAACCTATATAGTATATGGTTTTATTATAAATAGAAGTGTAGTTTTTTTTAATCAATTTATGTAGTTAGAATTAATTACAATAGTTACAAAAATAAATGACTTAAGTTTTGTTTTTTTTATTCGTGACAAATACTAATTTTATAGTATTTAACTTTGATGATCACAAATTATGGATTATTAATTACAAGAAAAGTTAGTTACATTTTTTTTTAACAAACTCCTGATATCTAAAAATTTATGTGACAAAAATTGTTTATTTGTGACCAATATTTTATTGATCACATATATTTATTAATTTGTGACAATTATTATAATTTTGATGGTCATTACATTGTTTATTATGGTATCCCTTGTACTCCTATTAATAAATTTTTTTTTCACTAATAAAAAAATTTGTATTGTTTATTATGATAAATTTTTTGTCATCAAATATATATTTTGTGTCAAAATTATAATTTTTAATTTTAAGAAATCAATATTAATGATTAATATCTTAAATTAATTATAAAAAAAAAAGACATTAGTGACGAATTAAAAATTAATTATATATTTCTTCACAAAAGTTTATTTTCTTGCAATGGGTACACACGATACTTAGCGAGCGCAAGAATTAATGCATGAAGACTTTACCAAAGGCTGAAAAATCAAAAAGTTACTCCTAATTTATAACTGATAGTGACAAAAGAAAGAGAATATTTAGTTTCATTAGGAGATTTTAAGGTCTTTAAGTTAAAAATCTGAATCCAGAGTTTACAAGGTATTTGATTTGGAAATATGAATTTTTTTTTTAAATGCTCAATTAAATTTGGGTGGATTTCAAAGTCTTAGTTTTTAAAATCTGAATGTATGGTTTAAACGTGGACCTTGAACATTATGGACAAGCAAAAGAGAGAGAGAAAAAAAAAAAAAAAAAAAACCCAGTAATATTAGCCACCAAAATACACGCCAATGACTTTTCCCCTTTAATCCACGCGCTTCAGTCAACCAAACCTGCAAACTGGAGTTAAGTTAAGAGATAGGAGGAGTAAAGAGTACGGTCAAGGCGAGGATAATTGAGGAATTGTTTGGAAATTACCTTGGGGAAACAGATGCGAAAATCATGCTAATGGACAAAGTTGAAAAAATGCGAAGGCTAAGGGTCCGATTGATGGACAACACCTTTTCAATCCGATATTAATTGCTTTGAGATAGTCACCTTTGCCAGACTGATTTTGGTTTGGAAAACGTATCGGTCTGATTGAGCGATCCAATATCCTTCTAAACAAACTGATTTTTTTTTTCAGAGTATAAAATATTGTTTTAGCAACGGTTCTCCCTATTTGATAACTAATGTTTTATAGATTATTACAATTTAAATTATAAAATATTTATTTTTTGTACTTGTTAACTATAGTTTTTTCAGCAAGATTTATTTCATAAAATTATGTAGGAGGACTGTGTAATGAAATTTTTTCCTTCCATTTAATTTAACTAAAAATAGAGTACCCAACTACTTTACAGTAGTTTGTGGAAACATTTTCTCAAATTTGATTAATGATTGAATTGTTTTGTTTATGGAACACAGAAAATGCTATTTGAAATTTTGAAGGACTTACAGGCTGTACAGTGCCTTCATTTGATAAAGGAGCGATGAAACTACTTTCCCCTTTCCTATTTTTCCACTTGTTTGGAGAGAGAGCATTTTGTTGTCAAGCCCCACCATGCCTGATGTTGTTTCAATGCTTTCAAATGAGACAATGTTGCAACAAAAACCCAAAAGAACCAGCATTTTTCACCAGCACCACAATTCAGGAAAACGCTGATGTTCTTGAAATCAAGTTGGAGAATTATTCCACAAGTCATGTGACAATTTCTGTGATGGACGCTAGGTGACTGTGTTTTTTGTTTTTTCGTCAGCAAAGCTAAGTGATTGTTGTCTGGAGTTATGGTGTTGCTAGTAGTCGTCTATGTAAGGATATAGTTCCACTGTAAGAAGATCAAAGGCAATCAGGTGACGATCTCAAAGCAATTAATATCGGATTAATATTTTGTGATCAAATACATTTTTTAGTTTTTTTTTGGTCAATTAATTAGTTAAATTTGTTTAAATATGGATATTTTTAATCCATCCACTTTTAAAATTTGCACATTTTTTATTCTTCAACTTAAAAATTGAGAGACTAAAAATGTACTTATTTGGACGGATTTGATGAACTGATTGAAAGAAAGATTAAAAATATGCATTTTTTATAGTTAAGAGATAAAAAAAATACATAAAAAAGTTTAGGGAAAAAAACTATGTAAAACCTTAAAATTAAGGGATAAAAATTGATATTTAACCAAAGTTTTTTTTTATGTAGTTATGTAGGTAAATTTTGTGAAATTGGATTAATTACTATTGTTTAGAGGGTGGAAAAGAAAAAGTGCTGAATCTATGCACTTTAGTACGGACCAGATGGTGAAACTAATATACAATTCGTTTTTTAATAGGTTATGAATTTGGGAGGTAAGGATTGGGAAAAGATGCAAGTAGCATTGGGCCAAGAGAGCTGGGGGCGATGGATACACAATTTTAATTATGAGGTTTTGTATCTATAGCATTCCCTTCAAGTTTCTGTTCCTTTTGTTCTGTTTTACGGTGCTAAATTCTCAGTAACTTCATGCAAAAACTGAGATGGATTAATCATTCTAATTTCTAAGTGATAAAGTGATAATTGAAAATGTAGTTTGGCTTTTGAATCTTTTGGCTCTAAGAAAATAAACAAATAGATTGAGGAAAATCAGAATATCATAGTAAGTAAAATGACAAAATGCTAATTAAAAGACTTAATGCAAGGAAAATTTTAAATAATTTCACATAGAGTCTTACATTTTGATTTTTACTTTTCATGACCACTGTTTTATAAAATTTCTTGTCTTCGTCAAAACTGACTCCTCTCCGTCAACCATGCTCTCGTTCGCGAGCGTGATGGTTTAGCTAGAAACGCCGGACATGGGGGGCAGAGGCCGGCCAAGAAAGAAAGATCCGCCGCCTAAGGGTGGTGCTGCAACAAAAATAATAGATCTGAAAGATGATAATGGGGAGCAAAATAGCATCTCAGTTGAGGAAACCAACAAAGAGCAAACAGAGGTCGTGAAGCTTGCTGCTTGCGATCCTCATCAGATGGGTCTTGAAATTGAGAAATCAGGGCGTTTGAGCCCAGATCTAGGGGAGAAAGAAGGGGACGATGAAGGGATTTCGCTAGATCTAGCTGTCTCGACGCAAGGCCAAAGGAAAAGCAGATCTGATGCTGGTTCCAAGGATGAAAGAGCAGATAAGGGGAAGAACGTGGTCGGCCCCGTGGAAGGGAAAGTAGCGAAGGGGAAGAAGGGAGTGCACTCGGAGACTCAGCCTTTTGTCATCCAGATGAAGCAACCTTCTGGGGAAAAAGACGCTGGTTCTACATCCGGTACGGGGATTTCTCCTAGTGCTCGGTGGAGTGATCTGATTGAGAAGGAGAAAGGGGAATTTCAACCATCCCTAAAGCAGAAGCCACTGCGTAGTTGGGCTTCGGTTGTGGAAGGGAATAGGGATATCAGTAAAGGATGGGATTTGCAATACATAAAACCTCAAGATCCAACTAGTATTGTGGTTATTACCGAGGATGAGTGGGTTAAAGGGTCAAAGATTTGGGAGAATGCTCTTGTTGGGTATGTTCTGGGATCTAAACCTGAGTTTAAGGATATTGCTAATTTCATGAATAACAGGTGGAGGGAATTCCAGGTGCCTAAGGCATTTGTGTTGTGAAATGGAGTTTTCTTGTTTGATTTTAGTAATGGAGATGCAAAGCAGGCGGTGCTAGAGAGACGCTGGACATTTAATGGGCACCCTTTGATTTTGAAACAGTGGACTCCAGATTTTGATCTTGACAATTTGGATATTAGTAAGATTCCTGTCTGGATCCAATTTCCTGAACTCCATTTGAGTCTTTGGAACCCTGAGAGCTTAGGAAAGCTAGCAAGCTATGTGGGAGTTCCTATTGCAACTGATGCATTAACAGCCAAAAGGCAAAGAGTGGCTTATGCTCGTATGCTAGTAGAGATGGAAATCATGGACACCCTGCCCCGTGTAGTTCCTATTATTGGTCCTAAGGGTGTGTTCTAACAGCCTGTGGTCTTTGAATGGGAGCCTATCAGATGTGGTAAATGTAGAAACTTGGGGCATGAAGAGACGAAATGTACTATTAAGGAAAAAAAGGTGTGGGTTCCAAAAAAACCTGTCGAGGAGCAGGTGGTAAATCAGATAGTTGGCAAGAAGTCTATTGAGGGGAATGATGAAGTATGTGGTCGTGAAGTGCAAACTGCTACAAATGTGAAGTAGAGTACACTTTCACGTTCTTCTGGAGAGCTGATAGGGGAAAGAAATGAGCAAAGTCCAATGCAACTGGAAGTGGGAGCTGTGAAGTCAATGAATCTGCAAAGTGAGACTAGTACTGGCACAGGGGATAAAGGGATGATGCAAAAGGCAGCAGGGGGAGAATCTTCTGTAAGTAAACCTCTCTCATGATATATCTTTCTTCATGGAATGTGAGGGGTTTAAATGATCCTATAAGACAAGTAGATGTAAAAAAGTTTATATGTCCAAATAAAGTCCAATTTATGGCTTTATTAGAAACTAGAGTGAAACAAGAGAATAGTAGTCAAGTTGTGCAAACTTTTGGTAGGCAATGGGGATGGTTGAATAATTATAACTCTCATCCTAATGGTAGAATTTGGATATTATGGAATAAAACTGTATTGAGGGTGACTAAAGTAATTCAAACAGACCAATTGTTACATGTTGAAGTACCCTCTGCAGTTGGGGATGTTAAATTTTTGTGCACAATTGTCTATGCTTTTAATACTTTTGATGGTAGACTAACATTATGGGATCAAGTTAGAGCTCTAGACGTTGAAAATGTGCCATGGATAATTTCTGGAGACTTTAATACAACTCTAAATTATGGTGAAAGGGTGAAGCCTAGTGGAGTTGTTTGGGGAGATACCTCTGAGCTCAAGGATTTTGTCAGTAGAATGGAGGTTTTTGATTTGCAATTTTCAGGTGCTTTCTTCACTTGGAGTAATAAGCAAGGGGAAAATGACAGGCTGTGGTGTAAGCTAGACAGGGTAATGGCTAATTCATCATGGGTTAGTGCATTCCCAAATACTTCTGTTGTCTTTCTAAACCCACAATCCTCAGATCACTCACCCTCTTTAGTGACTATGGATGTATTGATGAACGAGAAACCAAGGCCATTTAGATTTTGCAATGCTTGGTCTAAGGATGAAAACTTCCTTGATTTGGTTAGGGAAGCTTGGAGTGTGGATGTTCAGGGCTGCCCTATGTTTGTTGTAGTGCAGAAATTGAAATTGGTAAAATAGAAGATGAAGCAGCTGCATAAAAATATATATGGAAACTTGGAGGGAAGAATAAAAGATATGGCAACAGAGCTACAAAATGTTCAAGCTTCCATGCAGAATGCTTTATTTGATGAGACTTTGGCTGCAAAGGAAAAGGAATTTCAACGTGAATTAACTAAGCTTGAGAGAGCAAATCTGTCCGTAATTGCCCAGCGAGCTAAAGTAACTTGGCTAAAGGAGATGGACTCTAATTTTGCTTATTTTCATGCTAAAGTAAAGGAGAGACAGCATAGAAGTGTTATTAACTCCATCCTGAATAGTGAAGGAGTTAGAGTGAATCAGCCTGAACTTATAGAACAAGGGTTTTTAATGTTCTATCAAAACTTGTTTGGAAAGGCAAAAGAAGGTGTTCAAGCAGTTGATATGAATGTTATCCGCAGGGGTAGAGTGTTAACTACCAAAGAGTTAGAAGAGTTATGCAGGCCATTTACTGCTAAGGAAGTGGAGACTGCCCTATTTTCAATTCCTTCTAACAAATCACTAGGGCCTGATGGATTCACTTCAGGGTTCTATAGAGCAGCCTGATCAATAATTAAAAATGATGTCATGGCTGCTGTGTTGGATTTCTTTGACAGTGGGAAAATCCTCAAGCAAATTAATGCCACCAATATCACTATTGTTCCGAAGGTGAGTTGCCCAAATGTTGTCAATGATTATAGGCCAATAGCTTGTTGTAATGTCATCTACAAGGTGATATCAAAGCTCTT